TGTGTAATTATACATATGCGATAGATTACAAGACATTCTCGGTTCATGCATTTAAAAAGAAATCGAACGCCCTAAATCTTGTTGTTTAAAGAAATTCTTTTAATAAAATGACAAATTTAACATCACTTAAAACTTCACTTTATAATTGGCTTAATTCTTCAAGTGGGCCTCTTCTTGACCTTCGTCCTCTACATATTCACTTTGGCTGTAGAATTATCCCATCCACTTGTATTCCCTTTTCCGATTTGAAGAAACATCAATTTGAACTTCCACCAAAATCCTTACCTCTTGCTGTATTGGAACCACACAATAACAAGGGAATAGCACAACAATTACTTAAGGACCAAGGATGGAACGTTCTTTGGGTGTTTACCGAAAGCGAAAGATTATGGAAAGTCGGAAGAGAACTTGGAATTATCGAAGAGATTAGCATAAATACAAATGATAATAACATGGATTCGTCGGATCTTTACTCTAAAAGACAACGATGGACACTATTTCAACCTTGCCCCTTTTTAAAAAATAACATGAATTTCATAGAAGAATCACTCAGAAACATGCACAAACCAAATACGACATTCACTTGTTTGGATATCGCTTGTGGAAGCGGACGAGATGCTTCCTGGCTTTGTTTACGCACAACTGTTGACTGGCATGTCACTGCCATCGATACTATGACTAGTGCTCTCGACCGAACAAGGCAATTAGCACAGGGTGTTGGAGTCTTGTCCAAGATTCAAACCGTACCCGTAAAGATCATGCCGGATGGATCGGTTAAACAACCTCCGATAAGAGCTGGAGATATCAAAAATGGTAAGACAAATTTATATGATAATGTTGATTTTCTTTGCCAAACCTATGACCTTGTCCTTTGTGTCCGCTTTTTGCGTCGAAAATTTTTCGACACCATGATGAAAATGGTAAAGCCTGGAGGATTTCTTTTGATCAGCACATTTGTAAATGATGGAGTGCATTCGTACAAATATCCTAAAGGTGAAACACATCGATTGAAACTTGGAGAGCTTGACGCATTTTTTCAAGATCAATTTGAAGTATTGCAAAATGAAATCGAGCTTATAGAAGACGGAAGACCGGTGAATTCGTTCTTAGCTAGAAAGCGAACAGGTTCACCGAAAAACAGCATGTAAACAACAAATAAACTGTAAGTGCGTACGTACGTACGTACGTACATAAATATAGTGACGATTCTGATTCATTATTATATATAAATTTATATTACAGTATATTATTGAAATCCTTCCATTTTCCTCCAAATTTGATTACATGAATGACGATACTAGCAAAACATGAATGCATGGTTTTTTCCGTGCAGTACATTGGACCCAAATAGTTGTTAATGTTACCCTATTTGTTTCTGTATTCTTTAAAAGAAGATTTAACAATGAATTTGTCAACGGTTGAACTATTTTGTTAAGCTTTTGCGTTAGAATTAGAACACGAACACGATTCAATACAATGGATTTACATACTATGAACGAGAACAAATGACATTCTTTTAAAAATGTCAAAATTTTGACATGGTGATGATACACATAGTGATAACGCATTTCATGTTGGCTGTAGCACACGAAAGATCGGGTATCCGATAATACTGCGGATTACATAATTCCGTTTATCTGATATGGTTTGCAATACATTACGATTAATCAAATCCATAGTATTGTAGTACTGTAGTATCACTGTTGTATCACACGAGTATCACACGTTCTCGCATTTTCACATTTTCTGCATTTGACATGCATACCCACGTGACCATCACGTCATTTTCTTTTACCATTTACGGATTTTATACGGGACGAACATAGTCATACTGCATATTATAATCTATGAATCGCCTATTGGTATATCAATGTATGATTACAAAACTCTGTCAAAACTCGATCCCCGCGTCAATCACAAATACATTAGATGATACAACTCCTTATATTTCCACCCTGAACTAAGTAATAATTCATTTAAATAGCTCATGTATATGATATGTAACACAAACCTTATGAAAAACTTACTTCAATAAAATAAAAGTTTTATAATTATAATGGATGGGTCTTCTCTTCAAAGGGATATCTATAACGGGAGAATGTACCGTCAATTAACATGACTGTGACGAAC